TTGGTGGAAACGGTAGTGGAGAACAATCGAACCAACTCCATTGGCCCATCGGATTGTCATTCGATCGATAACGGAAATCACCGAATCCAAAAATTCGATATCCGTTCAAATATATAAGTGTTGCTGCAATGTGTTTGTCTTCCCTAGAACGTTTAACGAAATAAACGAATGAATATCAATCATAACAAATAAATGTTTAATTTGATTTTATGCGATAATTGAAGTGAATATTGGTTCAGTGAGTCGTTCTAGTTGAATAAAGATAGAACCGCTCGTATATCATTTAGTACTTAGACATCGCTTTAAATACATTTTCTCATCGTTAAGATAGAGTTTACCAGAGCATCAACTATACCTTGCATTATTCTCTTTATAGGCTAGATCGATAGAGGAAGTTAAAGAATATAATACGAAATATGTCGTTATCAAAATATTCCCTTCAAAATTTCACTTCAAAAAACCGCTGACACTTTGTGAGAAGGTGCTATGTGTCCAAAACATGGCTATAAAAGTTGCATAGATATATTTTCTAAGTGTAATGTCTGACAGACGTTAAAATAATACTGCCGGCTCAATTAGAATTGCTCTTTCGCATAGTAAAGTTATTAGATTCAATTTTTTTTGTAGGAAGTTGAAACTAAAGTAGAATTCTTAGAGACTCTCGGAAACCAAAAGATGGGTCCAAAAGCATATTTCAGAATTTCATCAAGAAACAGTGCAGTCTTTTTCAGCGGTCCGTCATCCTAAAATTTCAACGTTCTAATAGCTATATACGACTAATGGGTAACAGATTAAAAAAGACAATATCGATGTACTGTGGTGGAGCTTACCATCAGAGGAAGTTGTTTAACAATCTCTACGATTGGAACTTGAACCAAACTAGTATTGTAGGGGCACATTCAAAATTTATTTCGATCATGCCGCCCATCATCAAAAGCAGATGAGTTGTTCGCTTCGCAATACAATCCACTACTGAAAAATGAAAATTTCTTATTTTCGCTCATGCGGTCGCAGTGAAGCACACGGCGGGCGAATCTGCACCTGCCTTATTGTCTTCATCTATCTCATATGATCAACTATTGTTGATTTGATTCGAAACTTTTTATGCTGAAATATCAATAAATGAGCTACAAATCATGTTGGTGGAAACTGTAAAAATATTGTTTGGAATCATTTTTTGAATTCTGAGAAAGTCTCTGATAATGCCAATTTACTTTTGCACCTTTTATAGAAGAATACCGATCTTATAACATCATTATGAGAATGAGCACCTCGAATTGAGTCTAAGGTACTATTTTAACATCAGTTAGAATTTACAATTAAGGCCTGCATCTATGTAACTTTTATAGACACTTTGTGAACACATAGCACATTCTTATAAAATGACTTATCTTATCATTTAAACTCAATTACCAATAAAATTAAAATAGTGCATTTTGAAGTATTTGCAAAGCTCTACCAGATTAACTACTACTCTTTTCAAAAGCGTACAATGGCAGACCATATGGGAGCACATCATCAACAATCTATTACTTCTCGAAAGTGATCATCCGAGCGACTTCTCTAGATATTCAAAATAAGCTGAGGTTACGCCTTGTTGACTAAGATTTTATTACTGAACATGAATCAGTTATTAATTTGTTGACTAAATGAATTAAAATAAAACATAATTATATAGTTCTTTTATAAAAATATCATTCTTTTTGTATCATACCATATCATGAATGTAAATAACAAAACGAATCATGGCATCTCTTAATTCACATGTCAAAATATCCAAAATAGTTATGAGAATCGTCATTTTCAAGATAGTTAATTATTTGAAGCATTTCATACCTAGCGACCCTTCTATACATTCAAGTGGATTCAGAATAAAATGGTTTATAGTCTCTTATCTCCTCTATCCAAAGATATATGAACCAACATCCTCAAATTCATAGACAATAAGAAAATCGTTAAATACTAAAACTGAGAATAAAATGATCATTTTCCTCATATATCAATGTTCTTTGGACTGGATTTCGGAAACGGGAATTTTGAAAAGAGAATATTTGGACCTTTCTATTTATTTAGTATGTTCTATCGATCTAGCGCACAAACAAAATACTATAAAGTTTGACAGATGAGACTATACTAAGCATTCTGGTGGACTCTCACTCAGCAATGCAAACATGCATTCAAGTCGACATTTAAGCAGTAAATGATATGCAAGTGTTCTCACCTACATCCAATACTAACTACTCACTCAATCAATATTCACTTGTATCGTTTCATTACATCAGACTGTACATTCATTCATCATCCTAAATATCTATTCGCATATTCGATTGAACGTTTCAGATAAAAAACATTTCAACAACTCTTACACATTTAAATGGATATTGAATTTTTGAACTCGACGATTTCCCCAATCGACGACATAGAGATTCCCGTGTCTATCGAATGACAAACCGATGGGTCCATTGAGTTGGTTCGATTGTTCTCCACTACCGTTTCCACCAACAATGACACTTCCTTGTGTGGCTTCTTGAGGCCAACGCATGATTCGATCATTCTCTCGATCAGCCACATAGACAGTGCCCAATTGATCGACAACGACTCCTCGAGGAGATGACAATTGTGTAAGATCATTTCCTGCTCCTTGACCACCAGCCACGACAATGCCTTGTTTTGCACCTTCCATCCATTTCATCACACGATGATTGTCCCATTCAGATACGTATACTGAATGATCTCGATCGACGAATACGTATGTGGGGCGAGAGAGTTGATCGAGACGATTTCCACTTCCATTGCCACCTGCAACCACTGTTCCTTGAGATTCTCCTCTTCGATATCGTCTCACTTCATGTTTTTCATAGTCATTGACATAGAGAGATCCATTCTCGTCCATTGTCAAACCCCAACAAGAGATGTTGGAGATGATTGTTTCTCCACTTGTCCCATTTCGACGAGGCCATCGAACCACTCTTCCATTCGAACGGTCGCATATAATGAGACTATCTCTCTCTTTGTCGATAATCACATCTCTTGGGTTATCCAATTGATGATCTCCACTTCCTTGTCCATTTCCACCGGCAACCACTTGGCCACTTGTTGCACCTCGTTTCCATTCCACAATACGATGATTCGTTCGATCAGCAACATAGATCGTTTGATCATCATCAACATACAAACCCAATGGGTATGAGAGTTGATTGATTCCATTGCCTTGTCGATTTCCTCCAGCTACAGTGATACCATTTTGTTGCCATCGAGCATTCGGATGAATGTTAGTGCTGGATGAAGAACGTAATGGATAGTCTAAAATAGAGACAAGAAAAATTATTAAAATAAGAGAGAGAATTTTTCTTTGCATAGAAGTTGAATTTTGTTACAAGACGAGAAACCTTTTTTAGTCAAATTCTCAACTTTGTTAACAACGATTATTTTGTTTTAGAATATTTTCTTTAATTGAAAGGTACTTATTCTGGTTTCTTCTGTCAAGTATCTATTAATTTTTTATTCTGCTCTCACATCCAATCTTTGTCATCCTTGTATTCAAGTTCATATCTATAAGATTCTTATATAAACGGCGACAGCCGAGTATCTTCTATACTCTCCTCAGGAATATATAACAATGATATAGCGAGCTATGCTTATGGTCGATTTTCAACAAGAATAGTAAAAGAGAACTTTTGGATTGACAACTGTATTATTGTGTTAGACAAGAATCATTCTAGATCACTGAAGAATAACTATGCAAGGCTACCTCTCATTTAGAATTTATTTGTCTCACATAATTGCTGTATTTTGTTCGTCAACTACTTATATTTCATGTTCATAGATAGTTTTAAAAGTATCAACTGATGACAAGTAATGCTCATCGAGAATCAATCTATTTGACCCTTGTCTGACGAAGTACATATTTATATAGAATGGCATATAAAAACAGTCATAGTTAAGTAAAATGATGGTTAAATGGAACAATAATAATGATAAAAGAATCTTACGGCTGGTCGTTTTACAGATAAGCTCTGGGAATTTTTCATATAAGAAGCTATTTTGACCTTTTCAAACACAAGATTTGC